CGTCACCAAAGCCAGTATTAACACCTACTTTTCCTGACACCTACGGAAGCTGCCCTTGAGCTATACAGAAGAGAAAGGAATTTTCTTCCTTCCTTTCCCATTTCTTTTTTTCTTTCTTTCTTTTCTTTCTTCTTCCTTCCTTCCTTTTTCTTTCTCTTTTTTCTTTTGTTTCTTTCTTCCTTTCCCTTCCTTCCTTCCTTCCTTTTTCTTTCTTCTATCTCCTTCCTTTCTTTTTTCTTTCTTCTTTCTTTCCTTTCTCTCTTTCCTTTTCTCTTCTTTTTCTTTTTTTAGAGACAGGGCCTCGCTTCCTGCTCTGTCGCCCAGGCGGGAGTGCAGTGGCGCCATCACAGCTCACTGCAGCCTCCAGAGCCACTAACTCGCCTGCTCAGGCGACCCTCCCGCCTCAGCTTTCTGAGTAGCTGGGACTACAGACGCGCCCCACGATGCCCCGCTAATTTTTAAATTTTTTGTGGAGTCAGGATCTCCCTATGTTGCCCAGGCTGGTCTCAAACTCCTACCCTCAAGTGATCTTCCCGCCTCAGAATATTCTTTAATAAGCAAACGGATATATTAATATCATGAAATAGAATGAACAAAGTTGTGAGTGATTCCCATTATTACATAAGTATTACATATTTAATTCCATAAAATTAGACAATGCAGAGAAGCAAAAAAGAAAAATTGTCTCTAGCCAGAGAAGTCATTAACTTTGTGTAAAATCTTTATCTATTTAGATATAGATGAGATGTTTAAACTTAAATACATCTTGAATTGCTTTCCGTGCTAATGAATACCCAGGTACATCATCATTAAATACTGAGTGATTCTTTGAAAAAAAATTTTAGTTAAAACTAATATCCCTGGCTTGTGGGAATTGAAAAAACAATAATAGGTAATCTATCACATGGTAAAAGAAATTTGGACAACACAAAGGGCTACTAAGTGAAAAGTGTTTTTAAATTAAGTTTAGCTCAAAGTTGCCTCCTTACATATTTTAAGTTTGGCGTAAACATTCCTCCATAAGTAGTGAACTGTAACCTAACTGTCACCTACTCTTGTACCAATCACACTGTTTAAGCCAATCACAAGTGGCCAATTGTTCAAACCATGTTCAAATAAGAGGAACACTGAGCTGTAACCAATTCAGCTGTTTCTGTACCTCACTTTCTTTTATGAGTCCATAAATGTTATCCTACCCCATGGCAGCCCCAGAGTCGCTCTGAACCCACTCTGGTTTTGGGGGCTGCTCTACTGCTGAATCATTCTTTGCTCAATTAAACTGTTAAATTTAATTGCTAAAGCTTTTCTTTTTAAAATATACAGAATATTTCTAAATGGTTCTGAAAGCATATATTCATTCATAGATTCACTTAATGGCTATCAAAGGAAGTATAATTTTTCCCCTCCAGCAGATTAAGAAGAGAAAAATGGACAGATTTATTAATGTGTACAGTGTATATAAAGCAGGAGAAATCTCATGAAAAGTAACTTAAAGTAGCGGCTTAGAACTCTGGCTTGTATAACATCTTCAACAAAACAATACATTTGTGGAGAAATGATAGGACAAAGGAAAGCAATTTCGGGCTTCCATAGGTGGGAGACAATGGAAGGTAAATTTATGGGGAGAAATGAATGGAGTAAAGTTTGTTTGCCGATTACTCTGGTAATTTATATCTTGTCTTTAGGCAGAAAAAGGGGATAGAGAGAGAGCTCTTCCTCTGCTCTTTCTTAATTGGCTTCAGCTCAAAAATAATTTTCATGTCAAAGAGGCATATTTCAGGGTATCATATTCTGGTTTCCTTCATGCCCAAATTTATAGTTAGGAGGAGAAAAGAATAAACACACAAGCTAGAAATTTATTGTCTTGTCCCCAACTTACAAAAGTTATACATAGTTATACATGCCCACCCAACAAGGATTTTAAAGCAGTTATTAGGCTGGGCGAGGTGGCTCATGCCTGTAATCCTAGCACTCTGGGAGGCTGAGACAGGAAGATCACTTGAGCTCAGGAGTTCAAG